CATGGTAGAGACTCAAATGCCATAAACAGGAAATAAACATATTTCTCAAAGTTATCTCGAGTGTCAGCTATGGGTAAAATGTCATGGTACCGACTCAGACACCAATTCATTTAAAAAAAAAAAGCACTATATTGAATTCAGGTGAGTGCGCTGGGGTTGGGGTCATTGGTTGGCGGGGCTGGCGCAGATTTGGTGAACTTTTCCCTCCCCTGCTGGCGTCAACTTCTAGTACTCCTGGTCTTCAGTTTGGGTTTTTTTTTTATATATATCTACTTCTCGCTAACTCAAATGGATCGGTTTAAACTATTATTAATATGATCGAACCTATTACAATACACATCTATCAACAACTTTTCTCAGATTCCGAGATGGTGGCTCGATGTGGTTTGATTGGAATGTCCCCGGTCGGCGGTGATGATTATGAGATTATTTCCCCTAATAAGACAAATTTAAATAAAAAAAATGTAATGATAAACAAAAATAATATTATTATCAATATACATCAATTTTTGGCACATTATAGCACCATCTTTGGAGCTGCAGTGCCGTAAAACCTAAAAAAAAATTAAAAATAAATAATAAAAATTAACTTTTGTTAATTTTTAATAATAATAGTTTTTCAAACAAATTTTCAGAAAGTTTGTTGCGTTTTTTGGTGAGTACCAAAGAACCATAGCTAAAAAGGCGTTCAACAGGAGCACTAGATGGCAAACATGTGTTATATCTAAAAAATAATTCCTTTATTTCAGGATGTTTGTTCAGCATAGATAAATCTTTGTCGGCGTTATTCAAATATTGAAGGTACTTTTGATCTTGTTTTGTGTGTCTTGCAGTGAAATTGAAAAAGTCATCAACTGATTCTGACGGTACAGTATCACAAGCAAGACTTGAAGTAGCAGCTGCAATAAAATAATAAATTATTGCCTAATTTGATTCAATTTATAAATAATTGAAATAAACTTAAAATTTTTTTTGGTAAACGATTTTTAAACATTAGTTATAAGATTATATTGTTCCTAATAAATTTATAATAATTTAATCACACTCACACAGATTACAACTTTTCTCCAGTTGTATTAAATTTTTTTTTCACAAAGCTATGTCACTGGTCCATTATAGAAAATGTTAGCAAAAGTACCAAAGTTACCAATGTGATCGCTTTAGAGTACATTAGTGGAGCTTAATTAAAACACACAATCAAATTCAATTTATTTTATACAAGTCTTATACATCGAAACTCTCACAATACGTTTCAATAAAATTTTAAATAAACCAAAATAAGAATATTCACCTATAATCCTATCAGAATTTTTCTTAATCTCTGTCTCCAGCGTCTGAATGCACTGCGCTCTTCTTTCACCATCATCAACCCATGCAAGTTTAAATTTGGGATGAGTAACAGCTACCATTATGAATTCAGAACTGTCAAAAAGACTACCAAAGCGGCGTTCAATTCCTTCAAGCAGACTATCTCGTAAAGGCTTTGTGCTACGAAGATTGATATCCAAAAGTTTCCTTTTCATAACTGTTAGAGTAGGTAGCACATATCCAAGTGCACAATTCTTTTCCCCTTGAAGAATATCCAAGCCAATTGCTACAGGTGACATAACATCGACATATTCTTTTAAAAATAACACTTCGGCCTGACTAATAACAGGTAATCCTATAGCTTTGCAAACATCATTCAGTTTTTCTTCTGCAATGATTATCTTCTTAGTTGCTGCATAGTATGAATTCCACCGTGTCACGCATGAAACAAAGAAACGAAATCCAAGTATACTAAATGCAGCATCAGCAGCTTTGGTGCTTCAACTCGTAATATTCCAAAGAGCAGCTGCCTTAGCCATTGCCTGCCTGTATAATTGTTTATACGTTTTATCATCTAATGCATGGCCAGCATCTGCTGTCGCAACCAGATTTAAAGTATGAGAACAACATCTTAAGTGTTCTGGAAGACATATGTCATCATCTGATAGATCCGATTCTCTTCTGTATTCGTCAATAGTTTCACCAACATTTAAATCAAAGACTGCTTCATTATCATCCAACTCATTAACAGAATCATCATCAGAATCAGCAGAAGGGCTATGACTTTTGCTTGTCATGCCTATATCCATATCACTGTCAGCTGGCAATAAAATCATGTCATTGTTCCCATCTTTGTTACTATCAAGATTATTGTCAAATGGACAAGAGAATACTGAGAATGCTTTTACCATGTTGGATCCATTGTCTGTGCAGGTTTTCACAACTTTCGCTTCTATGTTGAAAGATTCATGCACTGTACTGATTGCTCTAGCTACTTTATCGAATGAGTGAATACCAGTAAATCTTTTACATGCCAAAGCTGCTGATTGTTGTTCCAGTTGATCATTATTGACATCAAACCAGTGAACAGTCATTCCAAGAAATGATCTATTTGCAGAGGACCATAAATCTGCTGTTGTGCAGACATACCTTGCTTCACTGAGGGAAGACTGCAGATTACTTATCATTACATCATATGCACTGTTTATACGTTCCTGTACAGTTCTTCTACACATAACTGTATTCGATGGAACTAACCCAGTGACGAGGTTTTTGAATGACTGTGTGTGACCTCCACTGTTTTTAATGGTCTCATTTCATCCACAATGTAATCCAGTACTAGTTTGTCGACTTTTGACTGAGTCATGACAGCTTGGGTTGTTTACTAGCACTATACTCAGCAGCATGTGTTTGCCTCTCTCTGTTCTCAGATTTGAGTTCCTGAAGAGATGCCGGATGACAACTCTGTAAAATGAAAGAAAAGAAACATTAACATTAACACATCAGTATTGACAGTATGATGATATTGACTGTTCTCAGATTTGTGTTCCTGAAGAGATGCCGGATGACAACTTTGTAAAATGAAAGAAAAGAAACATTAACACATCAGTATTGACAGTATAATGCAAAATGTATCTTTTGCTTTTATATCTATAGCTATTACTAAATATCTTTCTTTGAAATCTGCTATCAAGTATCTTTATTTAAAATTGTAGAACTAAGTGTTAGTTAAAATACATATAACATTAAAAATACAAAATAGAACCAAAAAAGAAAATACATAAGAAAATACATAAAATCAAATCTACACAATTATTTTATTTAAACAGTATAAACTGAATTTAATTTTGTTTTAATTCATGTATACTTCTAGCAATAATATTACCAAGTTTGCAAGTGCTGAGAATTCTGATATTGTTGTCATTGTATTACTTAAGCATTGAAATAAATAATTAGACTATAAGTAATTATGTAAAAACATCAAAACATTGAAATATTTTTAAATTTTAACATTGTAATTATTTTGTCATCTTTTAAATGCATTTGCATTCTATGATCTTCTGATCCAGATTTCTTATGGCCTTAGTCAAATTGGAAACAAGTACTCCAAAAGGTCGATTTTGTCCGCCAACATAAAGGTCTCCAATCATAGTTGGAAGCCTCCCCTCTTTCGTTTCGGTCCTTATAGAAAGTTTGAAGTCTACTGAATTGAGAGAGGCCGGTTTCCATTTTAATATTTCGTAACATTGACCCATTTTGTAACCCATATTAACCGGTTGGTAGATCAGTCCATCTACTTTGTGGCACACCGTTTTTACAAAATTTTCATCTAGTAAGCTTTCAGAAAAAGTTAAATCCCAAAATTGTTTTGCTCTAATGCTAAAAGGTTCTAACGATCTGTCTACTTTGCATTCATCTCTAGGTTGGATAATATCCTTCAGTATGCACATCATTCTGAGTTCGAAGTTCCAATCTCCTACATCGTGTCCATCTAACTTGATAATGTCATAAACGAGGTACCTTGGTAAGGTCCTGTCACCCACGTGATCAAGCACCATTTCTCCGTCTAATAAAGTGTTAGGCAGGTCGGTCTTTAGTTCTTTTCTTTTTTTAAATGTAAGTTTTTGTACGACTTTGAAGACCGTATTATCTCTATTTATCATAAATACGTTGTCTTTGTTTTCTATTAACATCAAATACCTGACACCATCAGCTTTCCAACTAACTTTGTATGGCCTCTCAGTAAGAAATGCTATGTTCCTCTGATCCATACTGACTGGATGCGCTCCAGGAAAGAACCGTTGTTGCATCTTGAACATACATCTGACTATCTCTTGCACTCTTACAATTTCTTCATCATTTGATACTGTGATCACGCCTTTTACTTTACCGTCCATGAATAAAACTTCTGTTTTATTTTTGTTATTGTTGGCGTTTCGTAAAACGACATCTCCATTGTCCTTGTCGGCAACATCATCTAATTCAGTGCACCAGGATGGTAGCTGAGGTGCTTTCGGTGTGGAATCGCTTTTACGGAATCTTTTGAAGATTTCATCTAGATAATCTTGTTTGTATATCCCAGGCGGTCTTGCCTCTCGGAATATGTCTAGAGCCATCTCCACACTCCAATCTAACTCTCGTACTAAGTAAGATGCAAGAAGAAAACCAGATCTATTGTAGCCATGTGTGCAATGGAGTCCAATAATTTTGGTTGGGTTCTGTTGGATAAATTCTTTGCAAATGGCATTAAATCTCAACGATAAATCTTCCGTCGGTGCTTCACCGTATCCCTTGCACTTTAATTTCTTATAATCGCAACCGTAGACGTCTCTAACATCGCTGCCGTTATAAAACCTTGTTGTGTTCGTCAGGTCGATGATAAGGCCCATTGTCAGTTTCATACTAGCGACAAATTCAAATAACATTTCTAAACTAAATCTGCATTCCTCGGGTACTATGCGGTCGTACTTTCTATCCAGTGGCGCCTTAAACACCACGAACTTATTTGATATTAGCGTACTCCTTCTTGGACAGTTCAACCACCTGGAAGGAATTTTTAATTCTTGCTGTTGTTGTTGTCCTGCCATCATATAAGTGACAAAAAAATAATAACTCGTTAAAGAATGTGACAAGTAATTGCAGATAGCCTTCCGATGTCTCCTTGGATTGCCTCACTTTTTCTTTAAAAAAAGTGAAACACTTAGTAAACGTTTGATTAGAATTAATCAATCTGGTAAGCTTATTCAGCAAGATTATTAAAACTTTATGAAATTTTAAAAATCGTTTTTGAAAATTGATATACTGAGATGAGTACTAGAACAATTAATGATTGGAATTAGTAACTCATCGGCATATATAGGCATCATCGGCACAAAGAAGAGCGCAAATCAACTTTGAAAATCAAATTTACAACGTCAAATAAATTTTTAACTGCAAAGTGAAAATTGTTTCGTAGATTATTTTATTGAAACTATCTGTCATGGATACAAAGGCGTTTGTTTTACAGTGTTATCGTAAATTAACTTGAAATGTTTGTGTGGTGTGTGTATGTGTGTCAATCACACATTCATCAAAACACATAGTAAATTTTGAAAGTCCACTTTTTTTAATAACTATGTCTATAAAATATTTTTTCGAAGCAAAACTAGATAAAAGAATTCTTCAATAAAGGCTTTAAATTAATTGCTATATCAAAATACAATAAAACGTTTAAGACCACTTTAAACAGAAAGCATACCGATTAAAAATAATCGGTGTTTGGCTGATTAGAAAATTCTAAATTATCAACCAACAAATTAAGGAATGAACAAGTAAAAAATTCATAAAAGTTTTCTGTCTGTATTTGTTGTGGCTGTGGCTGCTAGAATATTTCTATTCAACAAAACTATCTTTTTATTTTAAATCGTGGTTTGGTTACCTGCAATGATTGTGATGAGTTGTTGTTATTATTGTTATGTAAAATAAAAGTGTTTACATTATTATTATTTTATTATTATTATCATTATTGATAAATTTCGTTCGCTAAATTTGTCAATCGTTCGACTATGTTGATGATAACGATAATGATGCAGTGTAAAGTTGGTGAAAATAATAGATAACATTTTGAAATAAACTGAGCAATAAAATCGATGATATCACTAAACAGGAAAATAACAAACAAGGATGAACGTGATGACGATGATAATTTTGATGATAATAAAAAAGATATTTTTTTTTATAACAGAGTTTGTTGTCGGCTTAATTGTTACGTTTAGTCGTTTATAAAAAAAAAACGAACAATTTTTTTAAATACATTATAAAAAGACTTTTTTTAAAATAAAATGCAAATGAATGAAAATTTTTAATAAAATATTAACTTATTAAAAAAGAACTGAAGTGATGAATCGGTATGATAGTAATGACAATTGGATGACGTCACGGAGAAGGTTTCTGTCTTTTGGCAAGCGGTCTGTTGTCACTCGTAGATTCGTTACGATGGTGACTTCGTTTTTGTTGACTAGATCGCTGGTTGGGCAGATGTTGTTTTGAATTTTCTGGATGGGGATTGCATTGCAAGTTTGTCCGGTTCGGTGCTGGTAGGAGTTTCTCCTTGAGATCGTATCTTTTAGTGTTGATAATTTGCAACAATTGTTCTTTGCTGACGGGATTTCTGATGGACTCCCAGACAGCCATCGCAGTTTTATAATGGTTGGGAAAAGACTTGTCAGTTCTCTGTCTCATGAAATGCCATCCATTCTCCCATTTGCATACTATGATCTTCTGATCCAGATTTCTTATGGCCTTAGTCAAATTGGAAACAAGTACTCCAAAAGGTCGATTTTGTCCGCCAACATAAAGGTCTCCAATCATTTGACTTTAATTTAACTTGAAATGTTTGTGTGGTGTGTGTATGTGTCAATCACACATTCATCAAAACACATGGTAAATTTTGAAAGTCCACTTTTTTTAATAACTATGTCTATAAAATATTTTTTCGAAGCCAAACTAGATAAAAGAGTTCTTCAATAAAGGCTTTAAATTAATTGCTATATCAAAATACAATAAAACTTTTAAGACCACTTTAAACAGAAAGCATACCGATTAAAAATAATCGGTGTTTGGCTGATTAGAAAATTCTAAATTTATCAACCAACAAATTAAGGAATGAACAAGTAAAAAATTCATAAAAGTTTTCTGTCTGTATTTGTTGTGGCTGTGGCTGCTAGAATATTTCTATTCAACAAAACTATTTTTATATTTTAAATCGTGGTTTGGTTATCTGCAATGATTGTGATGAGTTGTTGTTTTTATTGTTATTAATTATCATTAGTGTTCTCAAAATCTTTTTTTCTCCACACCATCTCGATTACTTCTATTCGTTTGCTTTAAGTTTGAAGTCTACTGAATTAAGAGAGGCCCTTTTCCTTTTTAATATTTCGTAACATTGACCCATTTTGTTGCCCATATTAACCTGTTAGTAGATCAGTCCATCTATTTTGTGGCTCATCTTTTTATAAAACTTCCCTCCAATAAACTTTCAGAAAAACTTTAATCCCAAAATTGTTTTGATCTAAGGCTAAAATGTTTTAACGATCTGTTTTAACGAAACTTTGCATTCATCTCTAGGTTGAATAATATCCTTCAGTATGCTCCTCATTCTGAGTTCGACGTTCCAGTTGCCTACATCGTGTCTATCTAATTTCAACTGACTGACTGACCGACTGACCTACTTACCGACTGACTGACTGACTGACTGACCGACTGATTGATTGGCTGATTGACCAGCTGTCTGATTGATTTTTTTGTCTATTAAATAACAAAAATGATGAAGATTATCAATATTATTAATATTATATTTTTGGATATGTCATCAAAGTTAAAAATAAAATAAAAATAAAAAAGCCGCTCTATTATATAATATAGTAAACACAATTAATCACCGATTTAATATTTTTTGTAGATGCACTAACGAATTAACAAATAGTAGTTACCTCATTAAACTACTTATATATACTTGGAATTTTAGGAATCGAATAATTTTGAAGGATGTCCAAAAGCGCAAACGTGTGCTGATCAAGATAATTAGAAAGTACGAAAATTTGAGTCAATTTATGTGCGGTAAGCTGCCCTTTCGTAATTGTTTCTTAATTTGTAATTGGAGCACATAACCTCAGAGCGAATTAACACCACACACACACACACACACACACACACACACACACACACACACACACACACACACACACACACACGATACGATTGTATGGACACACATGCAAAATTGCAGATGCATTTATGTATGTTAAATTTGTTTGATATATTTTGAGAATATATGTATTTATAATGTATCGAGGCAAATATCCCTGCGACCGTAAAATTGTATGTGCTGATTTGATTTGTAGGTACCAAGTGGATAGTTAATAGGTGATAGGTCAAATGTTAATTGACATTGGTGGTTCTGCGCTTTGTCGCTGCTTGAGCACGAGTGTTCTGTCGTGTGAGCTAACATGTTGTTTATTGTATATCAACAATTATTCAAACAAACACATTTACACGGACACAAACATTGAATATAAATGTACTTGAGAAATCATGTTAGTTGAACGCCACAGGCGGAAATACATTTTGAAAAGTGCAAGTTCGTATAACTTTTTTTATTCTGTAAATTAAATTTTGTCCAACGCCTGCGGAAGTAACAACGCGCAAGATGGAAACGATGAAAATGAAATTATGAATATGTAACATGTTTGTAACATGAAGTACAATGAGATAATATTAAAAAATATTGGTGACAACACGTAGAAAAAATGAGGGCATAAGGAGAATGCCTGCAATTGAATTGAGAACAAATTAATTACATTTACACGTGAATAAGTTGTTGTAATTTGTATAAAAAATGTGATAGGGTTAGGTTAGAGTTTTTTTTAGATTAAAATTTAAATTTTTAAGGGTATTTTCATGCTTTTTAATCATTTGGACTCACTCATTCGTACTTATTTCCTGCGTCCTAGGATTTCGTCAAAATGTGAATATAAAATAAATATAAATGCTGATATAAGGGTAATGATAAAATTAAAATATAAAAAATAAAATTGGTAATATAATATAAGAAAAATTTTTAAACATAAGGCAAAAATTAAAATTAAGATAAATAAAATACTATAAAATGAAATATGGCAATAGCTTATGGTTCACTTTGTCGTGTTGTGACATAATCACAAGCTTTTTCAAGCTACCACGCTTTTTTACATATAAATTACACATTTATTTGTACATAATACATATTTACCTACAATCAAATCTAAGTTTATATGCATGAACCATGCACATTACTGCATGTATTCACATGCATGCCTACGCATTCTCATTCACGGCATCAACATGAAAAGACTGAATGAATGAAGAAATTTGTTAGTTTGACTTTGTTTTTCTGTTTCTGTATGCATGTACACCACACGCACACACAAGCAAACGGACACACACACACACATATATATATAAACTTATTTACATTTATGACGTGTATATAAATATATACTACGCGTGTTTAGAGACATGTGTATTTGCATCGTATCTGCCTATTTGTGTATTTGTGCGTTTCAGTATAGGTTTCTGAAAATGTGTTTTTTCACCGGTATCTTCACACATTCGCGCAAATTTGTATAAGCTTTCCAATAATTCTTTTACAAGTGTTAAAATCAGATTAATATATGATGGTAGTGTTACAATAAGATATTTATGATGGTCGTTCTCTGGTGGCGTGGTGTGAGTTATTTTACGGCTGCTATATATTCTCATTTTTTATTTATTGTTGAAGCTTCTTTGGCCTGCAACTGCCAGGCCGCCATTTGAAGAGAGTTAACCACTTTCCAGGTCTTCCTCTCGAAGAGCAAACATCGCCAAATTTAACTGGATTAAAATATTTGAATGTTTCTGGTTTTAATAATAATAATAATGTTATTTTATATAGCGCCATGGCAAGGACTGAGGCGCATTATCATCATTACAACAAACACACGGTGCATAAATGCACGTGAATCAACGAATCACGCACTTTTGCATGTAATGCAAACTGTTTGCATTCGAACCCGGACACTGCATCAACAATGCCAGGCACCTCAGCCATTACACCATCGCGCCGCCCGATACTGCCATGATATCAACTTTTCGAGCGTTTTCAACTGCGCTTTTGAGAATTAAGTTAAATTTTGTACAAAACAACTGGCGTTAATAATTTACAAAGCAAAATTAATTAAAAGTTGCGGATAAGCAAATAAAACCATGTCGTCACCTTTTTAAAAAAATTAAGCTCCACCGCCGAGAATTCCTGGCCACCCACCCGATCGATTTGTTAAAATCGGTTATTGAAAAAAAATAAAATCAGTTATTGAAAAGAAATAAAATTTAAATGAAAACAGAAAAAGAGCAAAGTTGCATAATTGGTTAGTTATCATTATCAACAACTTATTGAAGAGCCAACGACAAAGCGAATGATTGTTAAAAGACTGGGATGTTGATTAACTGTTTTGCACCTTCCTTCAGAACGAGCCGCTCGTCAAGACAGTAACTCTTATTATTATTATTATTACCAATATTATATTATTCTTATTATTCTTATTATTATTTCATTTTGTCTCTGTACTTGCTCGTAAATGATTTATTTGTATGAAATATAAAAATGTGTTAATTGCACCCTTATGAAAACAAATATGCACACGCACGAACACACACACACGCACGCAGGTATAAATTTCTACTTGTATATAATAACACATTTTATACTAACACATAATATGTCAGTGAATGTACGTATTATAGTAATATCCTTATGTATAATATATATATATATATATATATATATATATGTATGTGCGTGTGCGTGCGTGCGTGTGTGTGTGTGTGTGTGTGTGTGTGTGTGTGTGTGTGTGTGTGTGTGTGTGTGTGTGTGTGTGTGTGTGAGTGAGGCGAGAGCAAAGACACAGGTGTTAGGATGAATGTATGTGATTGATGAGGGTGATGGTTGACTGAGGTGACCAGGCACATAACTAACAACTATCTTTCTTTTGGTGTTTGTCACTTTCTGAGAAGCCAGACGTGCTTTCTTTTCTTATATTTATTTAGATATTTTTAATATTATATTTATCCACTCATTCATTTGCTCGTTTATCAATTAATTCATTCGTTCATTTGTTACATATAATTACACAGAGATTCACACACACAAACACACACACACACACACACATATATATATATACATAATTGTTCTTTAAATACAAATTAATTTGTATACAAGTGAGAGTGGGTCTTCAGCAGCGAATATGTCTTGCCACGTGTTCACTTGTTCACATTAAATGATGGCTGATAAGTTATTAATTACAAATGATGATCAAAAATAAATTAAAAATAATAATTAATAATAAAAATTATATTGAACGTAAATTAAGAATAAATTAAAGAAAACATTTAATTACATCTTTTCCTGATTTAGAGGGTTATTATTGCCAAAATGAACACCTACTGCTGATTGCTATCATCTACAGTCATACATAATCCTAAGTTGTATGCTTTTTTTTCAAACTGAAGTTTCGCAACTCAAATACTTCTCCTGTTGGTTGCAATTCGTCTAGACTTCTACGTTTTTTAGGCGAGTAAGCATCATCAAATTTCGATTCTCTCAAAATTTGTTGAGACCTATTTCTATTGAAAACTATCCTGTTGTTACAATAATTGATTTATTTTTATAATTGTAAACACCAACCAAAATCAATGTTCCTAATATATTTTCAAATCTTACGCTTCTGAGTTTC